TTTCCTGGGATGTGCGTTCGAGCCATGGCTTGGAAATCCTCATGCCTCTGAGATATCCGGAAAGGATCTCTTCTAAGACGTGCTGTAATGTCGGGACCGACTTCCAGTTTCATGAGAAAAAGAGGGGATCTCAAACTCCAGAAGACACAAGGCACTTATTTCCACCATCCAGCTGATTTTCAACCTGCTCGACAGAGGGCTACAGTGCTGCCTGGGATAAGACCCTCCTGGGTAAATTACCCTCCAGCTTTGATCACAATAAGAAACAACCAGAGCAGAAGATGAAGGTAGAAAATCTTCAGCCTTGTACCTGTTTGGGATTGTGCAGAGGAACTGCCAAGAACTCAGTAGCTATCTGAAGCAGAAGTAATACAGCCAGTGTGTCTTGGAGCTTGTCAGAGGGGAAACTGAAGTGTGCTTTTCTCTCATTTAAGTAACCCCTAAGAATAATCAGGAAATGAAGAAGGTGAAACACATAACACTCTTAATATTATCATTGTTTGCTAACCATAAGAAGGCAATCTGCCCTTGTATTTCTGTATCAGCTCTAAAATCCCAGAAACCAAAATCATGCTGTAAATCTTCAATTTCCACAAAAAAAAAGTTTAGAGAGAAGAACATCTTTTATATTTCTTAATTAACTTTAGGATTTACATTTACCATTTGCTTTTGCAAATTTCCAGGGAGTATTTGCCATTCCACAATTTGAAATGTAATTTTTTATGGAAAACTTCCTTTGGTGTGCCATTATGTTACAGACTTCTGTCAGTTAAGGTGAAGTTTGCTGCTGTAACAGGTAAATACAAAAATATTATTTGTTTGAACATCATAAAAACTTATCTTTGCTTCTTGTAACACCTAAACGTAGGCTTTCAAAGATTAAATGACTCTGCTTATTACTTTTCTCCTAACAATGACACAGGGACCCAGGTACCATCTATTTTGTGGATATGCCATTGTCAACATGTGACCTCCAATCTGGCTACAGTGCTCAGGCCTAGTCCACTCATTGTAAAGGGTGAAAAGCTGTTGCCTCACATGGGGGTGTTTTCGGTGGCCAGCCCCTATGGGGCAAACATCACTTCTAGCCACATAGGCTTGGCCAGGACTCATTCACTTGGCCATACCTAAGAGTAAAGAGGCTATGAAATAGAATCTAATTTTGTGATTAAGGAGAAGGGCAGATGAGTTTGGTGAATGAGAACACTGTTGATTTTTACACCATGTGCACTAATGCTGTCTTTAGAACTAACATCCAGTTTTCTTCCTTGGACACGTTTTATCCAATAAAACTGACTGGACACGTTTTATCCAATAAATCTGATTCCATTCATTAAACCCAGGAAATAGAATTGAGTGAAGAAGGCAAGGACGTCAATCAATATGGTTCATAGCATCATTGGCTCTTTAAAAGGGAGATTCACATTGATTCCAAGGGCATAGATTCAAGTTGAGAAAGAGCCGAGACTACTGTCTCAAAATAATAAAAAGTAATTAATAGATTTAGTAACATTTAGATATATATTGACACTGGTGCCATCACTCAGTCACTATGCCAGATACTCACATGTCTGGGATGGTACATATGGTTATTCACTCAGCGTGCAGAGAGGTTGATAGTGGGACACACTCCTTTCAACACATTTTATGGTCCTTCACTTTATGTGTTATCTGTTAGGTGAACATCTCAAGAATTATGCTTTCTTTATTCAGGTCCTTGATAGTTTCTAGACTCCTATTATGCAATTTGGGGTGCAACAGAGTGGGGCCCACTCTTTAAGTTCCTTGAACACAAAACACTGTTTAAGATGAGTGAGACTCAATCCTGACCTATTCCCCAGTCCACCTTTATTCCTCACCAACCCATGTTTCAAGGACTGACTTCACAACCAGGCTGGTGAAGCTCCTTGAAGAAAACCTTCAAGCAGATCAGTGAAAAGAGATGATTAAAAATAAAAATGGGGGCCGGCCCCATGGCATAGCACTTAACTGCGCGTGCTCCGCTGCTGGCGGCCTGGGTTCGGATCCCGGGCACGCACCGACGCACCGCTTGTCATGCCGTGCTATGGCGGCGTCCCACATAAAGTAGAGGAAGATTGGCACAGATGTTAGCTCAGGGCCAGTCTTCCTCGGCAAAAAGAGGAGGATTGGCATGGATGTTAGCTCAGGGCTGATCTTCCTCACAAAAAAAAAAAGAAAAACGCAGGAGCCAGCCCGGTGGCATAGTGGTTAAGTTCACACACTCTGCTTCGGCGACCTGGGGTTGTGGGTTGGGATCCTGGGTGCAGACCTGCACACTGCTTATCAAGCTACACTGTGGCAGGCATCCCACATATAAAATGGAGGAGAATGGGCACGGATGTTAGCCCAGGGCCAATCTTTCTCAGCAAAAAGAGGAGGATTGGCAACAGATGTTGCCTCAGGGCTAATCTTCCTCACAAAAAATAAACAAACAAAAACACAGCAGTCCCTGCCCTGGACAGCTCTTTCCTGCACCCTTCCCTCAGGTGAAGAAGGCCAGATGGTCATGAATTATGAGTTTGAATGAAAATACATTCAATATGAACCCCTAATTCATAAACCATGCAAATTTTACTTTCTCATACTATTCCTTTTTTATTTATTTACTTATTTATTTTAGTGTGTGTGTGTGAGGAAGATCAGCCCTGAGCTAACATCCATGCCAATCCTCCTCTTTTTTGCTGAGGAAGACTGGCCCTGAGCTAACATCCGTGTCCATCTTCCTCCACTTTATATGGGACGCAGCCGCAGCATGGCCTGACAAGCGGTGCGGTGGTGCACGCCCAGGATCCGAACCCAGGCTGCCAGCAGCGGAGTGCATGAACTTAACTGCTATGCCACAGGGCCCATCCCCCTCTCAAACTATTCTTCAAGTTTGCTTTTTCTGGAGCGTTTGCCTGTATCATCTAGGAAAACCTGTGGTTGAAGCTCTCAGAGATGCCCTACTTAGTGCCCCCTCTGCTGGTCGCTACAGCTACATCTCTGGCGGGACCACCCACCAGATTTCAGGGCTGAAGACGGCTTGGCAGTATGCCATGGATGACAACTTGTGGACCAAGTTGCCTGATTTGCCACTTGGGCTTGTCTTCCACACCATGGTGTCCTGTGGGGGGACAGTGTACTCGGTGGGAGCATTGCCCCAAGGCAATATGTCTGTATCATCTATCGTTATAATGAGTGCAAGGAGGCCTGCTGCCTGGCAGGAAAGATGAGCATCCCTATGGATGCCACATCCGTCATCGGAATCTGTACATTGTCACTTGGTGGTGGTTGGTGAAATGCTACATCTCCCAGATTGGGGTGCTGGACTGCTTTGACAGCAACGCTTGGGAGGTGGTCCAGGGTGTCACCTTTCCCCAAGTTCAACCACCGGCCCCTGCTCTCTTTATGAAGACAACGTTTTCTGTGTGCACAGCCACTGGCAGAGCATGGAAATCAACCTGTGGAAGAGAAATGCAACAAGACTACTATCTCACTACCTCTCTTGCTCAACAGCTGCCCCTTAAATGAGTCTCATGCTATATGCTCCATTGGACATGGCGGGGTGTTTGTATGTGGGGGTGTCACCACTGCCAGTGATGATCAGGAAGAGGACTACACCATCAATCCTGTCCACCTGTCATCTTCGACCGCCTGCTTCAAGATGAAAACTTGCATGTGCTCAACAAGGGCCAGGCTCTCAGTGCACTCATCAGCTGGGTGCAATTCCAGAAGGATGCTCATCCAGAAGGATGAGCAATAGAAATATTTCATGAAGTTCTTCAGTTACATCAATCTCAATGCTGTCTCCAACAGGACGCTGAGGCCAGCTCGAAGTTGAGGGGCATGGAGAACCACTCAGCCCACGCAACCCTTATTGAGAGTGTCCTTGTGGAACGAAAGCAGGAGAGGCCATCCAGCCTGCTGAGCTACCAATGGAAAATAATACAAAGATAAGCTGTATCAATGTTAAATTCCATGATTTGATAACTAAAGTGTGGTTATAAAAGAGAAGGTCCTTGCTTTTAGGAAATGTATACATAGTATTTAATGACAAAGGACTATGATGTCTCCAACTTACTCTCAATTGGTTCAAAAAAATAATATGCACATATATACACATAGGGAATGATAAAGCAAATAGGGAAAAATGTAAACAATTGTGAATTTGACTAAATATATACAGAATTTCCTCACTCCATATTTGTAACTATTCTGTAAGTTTGAGATTATATCCAAATAAAGAGTCACCAAAAACAAGTTAGTTCCCATCTTCTCATGTTACAAATTAAGTGGCATATCTCAAAGTTTCTCTCACATAACACTAGTTCCAAAAGATGCTCCACGTAAAATTGGATTCTGTGGGCAAGTAAAATCGAGACCAGCTGCTATCTGTGATGTTCCTTGCCCAAAGGATCACATCATATAAGAACATATTAAAGATCTGGAGATGTCCTGAACTAAAGGAAACTCTTCCCAGTATTTCCCAAGCTTTTAACAACTAAACCTTTTTTTCCTTACGATGCTGATATCAGCACTCCAGAGAACGGAAGGGGCTGACTGGCTTGGCAGGAGCTAGTGGTAAAGCAGGCAATGCCCAGGCCTGCTGAGCCTGGGTCTCCTACACAGAACTGCTGGCCTCAGAGTTGGCTGTGGACAAAATACAGGTTTGCTTAGTGCTAACCAGCATCTCTGAAAACTGAGCCTGAAACCCTGGCCTACCTGGCTCTACCTGGCTGGACTAAACGTCTAACCTATGGCACTAACACCAAAGCAACCATAACAAGGACACCAGAAATATATCCTTGCTTCATAAGTGGGCTATGTATTATATTTATTACAAGTTATTCATTTCACTTATCACTTTACATATCTCACTCTCTGAATAAATGGAACTCTTTGATTAACAAGATTATTTCTTACCTCATTGTTATATCCCCAATGCACAATGCCTGACTGCAGGTCACCAATAAGTGTATACTGATTAAATACTGAATTAATCAATGAATAATTACCTCTGATCCCAGATATGATTTGCCTTGTATTAATTTGGATGCTGCATAAGCAAGACTCCCACAGCATGTCTGTAGATGGTAATCCTTGTTACCCTGCCAATAAGATAGAAATGAAACACTTACTAATTACACCCCTTAAGAGAATTAAAACCTTGATAAACATTCTTTAAGCACAAGCAAAGAGAAGCTAGATGAAGAATTACCCAAATAAGAGACTTCTGCAGGCAACCCAATGCTCTCTGCCTACATGCATGCATGCAGGTGTGGTCTCCTCTTCCCTGGATTTTCAATATCACTACTACCTGGCTTGAGCAAAATCCTTTTCCCCTTAGCTCAGTCAACTCAGGTTCATACTTCCCTAGACATCCACTCACATAATAATCAGCTTAGCATACATCCAAGCGCGCATGTCTTCCCACCTCCAAGCACTCAAGGGAAAAAGATTATGTCTTTACTGGACCCTATCCTCCCATACTGAATCTTTACAAACACAGAAGAGCTTCTTTTTCCTTAGAGGGAAGAGAGCAACATGCTACACAGAACAGTGCCTTGGGAGTCTGTTTTCTAGACTCAGTTATTACATGAATCACAACGTGAGCTTCCAGATCTGTTAAAATGAGGAATCTGCTCCTCTGCTCTCCCACAGAAACATCAAGACATAATGAAAATGAAACTACTGCCCAACACTTGTATAGAGTTCTACAACTGACAACTGACCTGTGAAATTGTGAGATTTCATTTACAACTGCAACAGCATGCCCAAAAGTGAGCTCCTCTGCAGAAAACTTGAGGCAATCCTCTTCTAGTCAACTCCTGCCTTCTTAGATGGTGTCTGCGTAGGTTGAATCTGCAGCAGCCATAAAGGAAGGCTAACGGAGTCTGTCACAAATATTCTCCACTGCCTCCTGTGGAAAATACGACTTAAACCACTTTATCTGCTCAAAGTATATTTTATCTCTATATGCCTGCCAATCAAAAAAATGCCTTCTAGCTTGCAGTTCCCAGACACAAGGCTCCATCTCTGAAGAGCTCAGGAAAGGAGAGGAAAATCAGAAATAAGACATTCAGCTGAAGGCAATACCTGCTTCCCTTTGCACCTAGCTAATTCTGATTGGAGCAGGAAATAATCATGGGACTACATAGGACTGAGAGAGGTCTGCGATTTCAATATTCTTAATGAGTATAGACAGCTCACTTTAGAGACTATAAGAACCATGATCAGAGAACTCAGGAGGAAGCCTCCAACAGGCAGCCACACAGGAGCTCTGCTGCAGACAGCCAAGCTGGAGAGTTCAGTCACCTCAAAGAGAAGGTGTGCTGGAAAACACCAGTACTTAACTGTGGAGTGCAAATTAAGGAAATATATAACAGTACAAATTTAAAGGTGCATATGGACTTTTTCCTTCTTCTTTTATAAGGAAAGGGGACTGTCTCTCAAAATGTAACTAATTGATAGTTATATAACTATTTGGATAACAAAGAATAGATTTGCACTAAATTCCCAAAACTCATATCTAAATGAACAAAGGCATCACCCAGTGGCAACATACTAAAACTGCAAACACATGGTCAATTCAGCATTCCTGCTGTGATGGCCTCATGTCACCTTGATACAGGCCTAAAGCAAGGTTGACATGAGGGAAACCATATTGTAACTTAGAATAATCTCTAACCAACCCACCTAGCTGTGTATGTTTTACCTTACATGTAGCCTAGGTGATAAATAGCTACCTTTCAGGAAATATGCACACTCTGTAGATTTTATAATCCTGGCTGAAACATGTACATCCCTGTAGTGACAGATAATAACTTTGTTATTTTGAGTTTCTTAGGAATATGACGACCACCTCGGAGAAGAACATCTATGCTGGCATCCATCATTGATGACAACTCAAAGACCTGGTGTGGCGCCTCCAGTCACTAATACCAAATGGTCAATAATTCCTGAGCCCCTCCTTCTAGCTCTAGCTCTAGCGCCAGCCCACTAGCGCTATATAACTGCTTAAACTTTGTGCTTGTTTAAGATGGTCTTTGGGACATGAGTCCACCATCTTCTGATTTATTTATTTATTTGCTGAGGACGATTAGCCCTGAGCTAATGTCTGTTGCCAATCTTCTTCATTTTTTGCTTGAGGAAGATTAGCCCTGAGTTAACATCTGTGCCAATCTTCCTCTATATGTGGGTCCCTGCCACATGTGGCCAATGAGTGGTGTAGGTCCCCACCCAGGATCCAAACCCATGAACCTGGCCGCTGAAGTGAAACATGCCGAACTTAACCACTACGCCATGGGGCCAGCCCCCACCATCTTCAGATTTTGCTGGCTAATTGAATAACTCCCTTTCTTGACCATTGACTCATCTTGAAATTGATTGGCTTTAGTGTTGTGGTGAGCAGAATGAGCCCCTGCTCGGTTACAACCTCAGCACTACAAATTCTCTCACAGCATACCCATGGGGTCTTCAGCAGGACCAACTCTGGACTTAGAGCAGTGGTTCTCAACCTTGGCTACATATTAGAATTATCTAGAGAACTTACAAAAGGGATGAAATTTAACATTCTTCTCAATGAATGCAACCAGGCTCAATAAAGACTAAGTGGAAGTCAGTGCAAGATAACACACTAAGGGGTGCACTTACAAAGGAAATAAATGCATTTTTACTTCTGTGCTTACCTTGGGTTTCACACAGAGACCAAAGTCAATCAGCTTTAATTTATGATATTCATCAAACAACAAATTTTCCTGGGAAAACAAAGATATTTTCATAACTGTATACTGACTTCCTTATATCACATCCCACCTCTAGCCATTTCTAAAAATGACTTAACATTGCTTATATTAAACAGCCTGGGTACAACAGAGTGAAAATCAGTTAAAAAGAATGAAATGATAAGAAGTATGAAAGGGGAGAGAGGAGCTATGTTGATAACTATCCCGCTTCCCCTCAAGACATATTAGCATAAACTGTTTTCTCCTTGGTGCTCTGAGGTTCAACTAAAAGCAAACACAGTGTGTTCCAAAGGCAAGTTTAAACCAAAAGAGTGAACTGAAATCAAAGGGTTGGGTATACACAGAGGGAAAAGGACAGTAACACTGCCCTATCTTGTCAGACCAATTCTAGGTTCCTGACCCCGATACCAAGTAACATTAAAATCCACGTTCACCATCATCCATGTTAGTCAGAGCCTGCAGACTTAACAGTATTCACATTTTATTCTGTCCTTGAAAAGTAGTGTCTGTCAATTCCATTGAACTGTTCCTTTCTGAAGTGCAATGGAATTAAAGTTAAAGGAAAATGAGGCTAGGAAAAGAGTATTGAATGGAAACACTGTGACAATATTCTTGAAGAAAACACTCAAAACTCTTCTTCCTAGAGATAAAATCCTGAGGTTTGTAGTCCACAGCAGATTACAAAGACACTTAAAATGTCACACACAATTGACAGCTAAATACAAGGCCAATAATAAGTCCATCCACCAGAAGTCAAAGGAGGGGAAAAAAAAGTGATATATGATGAGTGGAACAACAACAAAAAAAAAGAAGCAAAGCCAAGAGTGATTCTAAACAGAAAGAACATTTGGAAACCTAGTAAAAACAGGTGAATGATGTTGAACTCTTGGGTGAGCATCTAACTGTGACACAGTCACTTACTGGTTTGAGGTCCCTGTGAGCATATCCCCGGCTGTGCACGTAAGCAACTGCAGCTGCTATCTGCCGGAAGGTGATGTGGGTCTCCTCTGACAGGCGACCCTGGGCGATGATGTAGTCAAACAGCTCTCCTCCAGGGCAGTACTTCAGCAGCAACACAGCCACACAGATAATGTCACTACTTACAGAACTCACGAGAAATTTAAAATAAAAAATTATGCTTAACTCAAGATATTATTAATTCAACTTATAGGCAAGGGAACTGAGTGAGAGACATTTAAAAATACACTCTCAGGATCAAACAAGTCAACAATGATTCCAGGAAAGAGAACAGCTCTTGGTCTCGAGCAGTTTTATTACCAGTAGGTAGAAGTACAACCAACTACCACTGTGATTTTTAAGCTCATTCAGTGTTTTATATTTTTATAGCAAGATACTAAAACACATCAATGCACTCATATTTAGTGCAGTTACCTGACACAAAAAAACCCAGCAGCATTATTGCTTCTCCATCCCGAAAATGAGTGATTTTCAGTCTGTACCAGAAGGAGCCAGTTCTACAGAGGTTCCTCAGAGGCTGCAGAAGAATGGTTGCCAGAGCAGAAAGCTCGAGGCTTTCCATCCCTTCTTCTCCAGAGCAGCTCCACCGTTCTGTAAACTGGGTTTCCATTTAAGATTTCATTTCACTTTATAGCAATATCAATTAAAATTATAAATGTCTATGGCCTTTGACCTCATAGTTCCACACTGAGGAATTGTTCCTATAAATACACTCTCATGTCAAAAGTGATGCACATTCAAGGTCATTCACTGCAGCAGCACTGTTTGTAGGAGCAAAAAGACGAAACAACCAAATGGTCACATACATAAATTATGACACAGCCATAAAATGGAATTCTATGCAGCTATAAAAAAAAAGGAGCTCTTTATGAACTGATATAAAACAATATCCAGTATTAAGTGAAAAAAGCAAGGTGTAAAAGAGCATAGATTGATATGTTGACTTGCAAAAGCATTATGCTGAACAAGAGAAGCCAAGCACAGAAGAGTACAGACTGTATGGTTCTATTTATATCAAGTTCTAGAACAGTTAAAACTAATCTATGGTGACAGAAATCAGACCAGGGCTGGGAAGGGCAGTGGGTGGGTGGCCTTACAGGGATTAACTTCAAAGGATCAGGTGAAAACTTCCTGGGGTGATGGAAATGTTTTATACCTTGATTGGGGTGGGAGTATGTGGGTGCACACCTTTGTCAAACTGTATATACCTCATTTGTGCATTTTATCATATGTAAATTACACCTCAATCATCAATTTTTTTAAATGCCATCCCAAAAGATTTACATAGAGAAGAGTTACTTTATATTTTCAAATAAAGAATTCTAAAATAAAGAGAAACAAAAACATCTAAAATCTCTATGAATGTACCTAGATGGTCTACAAGCTAAAATGTTAAGTGGGGTAAAAAAGCAAAGTACAAAATAATATTATAGTATGTGACCATTTGTGTAACAGAAAACGATAACCTACACACACATATTTACATATATAAAAAACATACATACATGCATATATGTACACAAGCTTATATACATATAAAATATACATAGGTATTTGTAAATATGTGGCATATCTATAGGAAACACAAGAAAAGTAAGTGACTGACTCGGGAAGGGAACTGGATGACTGGGATAATGGGAGACAGAATGTCACTTTTTAATATACACTCTTGTACCTTTTAAATTTTGTCCTAGGTTCATTTTTTTTTTAAGAATTTAATTTGCACAAATAGATTAACTAAAAATAAAGATTTTAAAATCACCACAGCAGACCACGTGGGTATATCTACAATGTAATAAAGAGAAAATGGTTCTAGGTCCAAAACTTTCAGCACTATGAATTTTAAAATGTGCTTTTAAAAAAGAGCTAATGTGTAAAAATGATGTGCAGTTAGAAATTATTTGGCTGAGACTAGGGAAAATGAAACGAGATGAATGATGCAAGTTCTAAAGACTTTACTTTCCAGGTCAAACAGGGCAGGTTAAAACGTGAAAGAGTTTGGCTTGCGTAGCACATGCACTGAAGGCTAGCTATAGGCTGTGGGTGGAACTGAGTCCCCCAAAGATAAGTTCCAGTCCTAACACCCAGTACCAGTGAACCTGACCTTATTTGTAAATCAGGTCTTTGTAGATTAGGGTGGGCCCTAATCCAATGACTTGTGTCCTTATATGAAAAGGGAAATTTGGACAAAGACATAGACACACAGAGAAGAAAACGCCATTTGAAGACAAAGGCAGAGATTGGAGTGGTGCATCTATAAACGAAGGAATGCCAAAGATTGCCAGCAATCCCCGGAAACTAGGAAAGAGGCATGGAAAAGACTCTCCAGAAGGAACCGATCTCGCCCACAACTTGATTTCAGGCTTCTAGCCTCCAGAACTGTGAGACAATAAATTTCTGTTGTTTTAAGCCACCACATTTGTGGCAATTTGTTACGACGGCCCTGGACCAATACACCATATAAAACTCAAATGGATTCTTCCCTCTAGGAACAAATTCTAACATATTCTATCCACTAAACTACACCACCCCATTAGGAGTGTATCAGAAAGAGGTCGTTCACAATCAGTCTCCAGTTTATTATATATGTCTACTTGATCTAAACTGTTACAGACAGAACTCAAACGAGTAAGCCACTAAACATTTATTCTAATCTTTCAGGTGAAATGTACTTTTCTCGTCACTATTGATAAAGTGACTCCTATGGTCTGAATGTTTGTGTCCCCCCAAAATTCCTATGTTGAAGTCCTAACCCGCAAAAAGGATGGTATTAGGAGGTGGGACCTGTGGGAGGTGATTAAGACATGAGGGCAGAGCGCTCATGAATGGAATTAGTGCTCTTATAAAAGACGCTCCAGAGAGATCCCTTGTCCCTTATACCCTGTAAGGACACAGCCAGAAGGAGCCAGCTATGAACCAGGAAGAGGGCCCTCACTTGATCATGCTGGTGACTTGATTTTAGACTTCCCAGTCTCCAAAAGTGGGAGAAATAAATTTCTGCTGTTGATAAGCTACCTCATCTGTGATGTTTGCTATAGCAGCCCAAACGGACTAAGACAGTGACAGTGACCAAATGCTTTCAGGTTTCTGGAACATACTACTAACCTCAAGAACCATGAATATTTTGTCCACCGTCTCTGGCACATGGTAGAGTTGATATATATGCTGATGTCTCAGGTTCTTCAAGGCATCCATCTCCATTTTGATCCGGGGCAAATCACTCTGTGACAAAACATTATATGGAATGAGCAAGAAACCAATTTGGGAAATGTTCCAAGCACCAACATCAGCAGCTTTAAAAGCGAGCAGCAAAAGTGGTCAACAGCCTCCAAACAAACGGTTCAACAATTCAAAAAAATACTCTAACAAAATTTATTTGTATGTGCATAAAAAAAGGCCTGAGGGTTTTATGAAAGACACGTTCAATGTAGGTCAGTAGTACAACATCCAGAAAAACTAAAAATCTCAGACTCCTTTAGAAGATTAGCATTGCAAACAAGGAAAGTGACAGAAGCATGCCTGGGGACCGCTTTGGGTCTTAGCAGTGTCCCTGAGAAGCAAGCTGAGCTAAGTGAGTGTACACTCAGTGAGTGTAGGTGAAAGGTCTGCGAGTATTCACTGTCTCAGTCTTCCAACATTTTTGGGGGCATGAAGTTTTTTAAATAAAAAGTTGGAAAAAAAATAAAAAGTTGGTTGCGGGGGGGAGCAAAGCCAAGATGAAAAAATTGTCAAGTCCATATTAAAGACAGAACCCTAAATATCTATGAAGTAACAAGTAAAACTCTATTATAAAAAGGGACTCAATCTAACAATCAATGGCTTAAGATCCAACTGTCTAGGACCATGCAACCAGATATCAGGTCTTAACCAAGAATCAATTGTAACTTGGACTATTCTGATATGATCATCTTTTTTTCTTCTTTTTTGGGAGGAGTGGGAGTCTGATGACCAAAACCCTGGAAGTAATCAAAATATTATTAAAATCCTAGAAACTAAAATAAGCATAATAACATTAAAAAATACAAAAACCAGTTTAGAAATAATGAATTCATGTCATCATATTGATGCATTAGAATAAGTTTTGAGTATCAGTGTGGTAATACATTTTGTAATAACCGTTCACATTTTAAGTGTTTGAAGTAGTCTAGTGAATAAGTCATACTAAAGTTGTAACAAGTTTAAATTGCTTAAGGAAATTAAATTAATCAAATTTGTAATCAATGGGGGCCAGCCGGGTGGCATAGTGGTTAAGTTTGCACGCTCCACTTCGGCGGCCCGGGGTTCGCAGGTTTGGATCTCGGGCACGAACTTAACACACCACACTTCAAGCCATGCTGTGGCAGGTGTCCCACATATCAAGTAAATGAAGATGGGCACGGATATTAGCCCAGGGCCAATCTTCCTCAGCAAAAAGAGGAATATTGGCAACAGATATTAGCTCAGGGATAATCTTCCTCAACAAAAACAAATTTGTAATCAATGTTTAAATGCTCAAGAAAAAATAGTTTTTAATGCCTTTTTATTAGTTACCTAAATACAATATTGAGCACTGAAAAACAAAAATATTAAAAGAGAGCCTGAATTGTCAGCTGATAGATTATTAAAAATAATTTCTAGTATATGTCACTGTGTGATTTAGGCATATATTTTGGAAGGAGATCAAAGAATTGAGTGACATTTCTACAACAAAACTCCTTACATTCCCTTTGACTTATTTATGTGTGTTAATCAGCACTTACATTTTTAAAAATAAAAAACAAGGTAAAAATTGATGTTCAACTCTGTCTCATTCCAGCAACAAGGGAGACCAAAAAAGAGTCCAATGTGCCTAATTTAAAAAAGCATTTTCAGTAAATTATTTATGTTTTATAATTATCAACATTTATAAAATGTCTGTGTTGTTTTACTCAATTTTATACCATTAATAATTATAATGCTAACTCAATCCAGAAGAAAAAAATTTAATACTTAAGAAATTTTTAGAGGAAAAAAAGATTTAAAAAATTATTTAAACTTATCTTCAAAAAAAGAAACAGCCACAGATACATACTGAGAGACTAGTGAATTCTCAGCAGGAGACCAGAACAAAGAAAAGCACAGACACCAAACCACATGAGGGATGGCAGAAGAGTCTCAGATATAGGAGTAAGGCCAAAGCAGGTAACTTTTACCCCTGTCCTTGCCTCACCCAACACCTCCCTCAGAAGACCATTACAAGGAACAGCAGCTTGGCCCAGGCGCAGACTTCCCAGAGCGCAGTAGGTGATCTCTCATACCCCCATGGGTGGTAGGGCATTGGGGTAGTTCAGCTGAGCCAGATGGTGGGTAGAGATGCCACAGGGTGCTGAATGCCTTCTAGTCCCTTCAGGCTTCCAGCTTTATGGTGCCCAGGGGAAACTGGTGCAGAATTTTACAAGGGAGTTTGGATATCCAAGCCGATGTTATCAAAGCTTTATTAGGAAAAGGCAGCAATAGACACCTGTGACCCATTTCTTAAGAAAAAGCATTTGAACAGAAGCCTGAAGCTAAACATTCTGGTAGGACATTCTTGCTAACCATGAGTTCTCTGGAATTTTAGCTGCTAGGCTCCTTCTTGTGCAAGCCTTGCAAACAAAATGTGTGAATTCAAGTGTTGAAACAAGGGACACAGCCCGGGTACTGCATCTGCATTCTGATCATTCAGGAACACTGTCCTTCTAAGCTTGTTACCTTCCACACACTGATCTAGCATGAGATCTGAATCTCCAAAGGACACCCAGTGGGGGCAATACTCTGGCTCCGAACTCTTGGAAGGCTGAGGGGGGCCACTCCCCATTCCTCTCCCATTTATGGACCACACAGAACTCCTGCCACCATCTGTGAAGGAAAGCACAGTGTGAGTGCCTACAACATGCACTGTGACCCTTCTCTGAGCTTCCTGGGTTTGCTGGGAGCCCCTGATCAAGCTGGGTTCTCTCCCAGGAGGCAGACTGTTTCCTCGAGTGTGACTCTAGGCGTGGCCCTGCAGGTGGGCCCAGGGAAGTATTACAGCAGAGGAGGGAGGAGCGCTGGCCAGGGATCTAGAGACCACACTTGCCAAGGACCCAGGAGCACTGGGAGCAGAGCTGAGCTGGAACCCACTCCTGATTTACCTCCAGGAGGCTTCCACCTGCCCCCAGCTGCCTCTCCACTGCATCTACCCCACACCAGTGCAATGAGTCAAGGCCAACTGAGGACGTTTGAGGAGCAAGGAGGTTGAGGGAAGAGAGACTTGAAGGCATGACCTCTGCTGGGATGGTCAACTTTGGTAGGTCTGAACTGAACATTCCCTGGAGATGGAGCAGCACTTGAGGGCAGAGCAGGATATTGACACTGTCTAGACTGGCTTGGCCGGTGTAATAAAGAATCATAATACTGGCTTCTGAGATGCTTCAGAGCTCAAACATTCCTTTTCTGGGTTTTTAAAACCTGGACCCATGGACTTCCGGGTGTCAGCCACAGAAATTATATGCAAAATGTTATGTGTATGTGTGCAGGGGCATTCTTCTAGAGAGAGAATCCAGTTTTCATCAGATTCACAAAAAAGAAAATAGTAACAATTCCTGCATTAAAGGTCTCCGGGCAAAGAGAAGAAACGATCTCAGGGGGTTACAGAAAGAACCACTTTGACAATAGTTCACATGGAAGAATGAAGTTCTATTAGTTTCCTTATTGGAAAAATAGGCTTCATGGTAAGAAAACACATAAATACTTAAGATTTGACAACTGTCTAGTAAAGTAACATGCTTTTTTTAAATTAAAAAAAAAACGTGACTTTATTGAGGGATGATTGACATACAAAAACCTGACTAGATGTAATGGATACAACTTGATGAGTTTGGGGATAAGTATACACTCATGAAACCATCACCTTAATCTATGCCATAAACATATCCACCACCTCCAAAAGTTTCCTCCTGCTCTCTTTATTATTATTTTTTGTGATGTGAATATTTAACACAAGATCTATACTCTCAGCAAGTTTTTAAATGTTACAATACAGTATTGTTAACTGTAGACACTACACTGTACAGGAGATCTCTAGGACTTCATCTTGTATCATTGCAACAAGAGCTTTTATTGGGGTTTCTGAGGGAAAGGCAAGGCAGGGCAGAGTAAACAGCTAAGGATTGGCTAGTTTGAATACTTCAGGGGCTTTTGGTTAGAGGGGTGGTCTCCAGTTGCCTAGTACCTGGCCCTAGGGTGATTTAGAGCAGGGGAAATATTGGCTTGCGTGTGAGAGTTAGATAAGGAGGTGGTTGGGGCTATAGACGCAAGATTGCTTTGGTTTGTACATCAAAGCCAAGTCCTTTGCTGTCTCTAAGAATTAGCTAGCCCTGGGAGGGGCAGTCATTCCCTAGCCAGCAAGATTTTTAAGATGTCAAAACATCATAAAATACAGAAAATAAAAAACATGATTAATACAGTCTCACCCCCAAAACCATAGGATGATTACACAGGATACTTTATAGTAGTTCCTTTTAAACATCTCTCTTCCCACAAGTTTCCAGGTCATCTGCATAAATAGCTTCCTCTCTCTCAAGTCTTGTTACCCGTGTAACAGACCGCAGGTCCCTTCAGAAAGACTGGGAGGAGGCCCAGGAAATAAGACCATGGAAAGAGCAGCAGCCAACTGAGGAGCAGAGTGAACACGGAAGGGACGTGATGGGCGGTTAGGAAGTGTACCAACCCTCCCATTACCGCCTCACAGCCGGAGACAGAAATCAGGGCTGCGTCTCCATCAGGTGGCTGTTCTTTGTTTTCCATGGAGTTTACGGAAGTTAAATATATAACTACCTTTTTAGTTTTTATTCTATTAGAAAAAAGAAATTATTTCTTCTCTGTCCTCTTTCATCTTTGTACTGGGTATGGACACATATTTCAACTAGGTCCAAAAGGTGCAAAAAGACAGCAGCAGAGCGACAGAAATAACCTAGCACACAGCCTTGGGAACAGTGGCCCACGATGTTTATTTGAAGCAGGTCGTGGGCATATTTGTTGTCTCTAATTGAGGGCAGTGCAGCTGTAGATGGGGTAACTGGAGGGTTCATCTCTGAAACTGTGAATGGGCAGAAGGGGTGGAGTGGAGGAGACCACACTGTCTGCACAGCTGCTCTCCCATGAAACGGGCTCCAGCCACATCAATGCAACCTTCAGCTCAGGTTGCTGCTGCCTGTGGCTGA